AGGTCCTAGCCAGAGAAATTAGGCTAGAAAAAGAAATAAAGGGCATCCAAATTGGTAGGGAAGAAGTCAAAGTATCTCTATTTGCAGATGATATGATCTTATACACAGAAAACCCCAAAGAATCCACGAGAAAACTACTGGAATAGAAAATTTCAGCAAAGTATCAGGATATAAGATAAACATACAAAAATCAGTTGGATTCCCTTACAGCAACAAAGAGAACCTGGAAGAGCAAATCACCAAATCAATACCATTTACAGTGCCCCCAAGAAGATAAAATACTTAGGAATAAATCTAACCAGACATAAAAGATCTATACAATGAAAACTACAAGGCACTACTGCAGGAAACCAAGAGACCTGCATAAGTAGGAAAAGATACCTGGGTCATGGATAGGTAGATTCAACATTATGAATATGTCAGTTCTGCCCAAAGCGATCTGCAGATACAATGCAATCCCGATCCAAATTCCAGTGGCATTTTTTAATTAGGTGGAGAAACAAATCACCAACTTCATATGGAAAGGGGAAAGGCCCCAAATAAGTAAAGCATTACTGAAGAAGAAGAACAAACTGGGAGGCCTCACACTACCTGATTTTAGAACCTATTATACCGCCATGGTGGTTAAAACAGGCTGGTACTTGTACAACAGCAGATACATAGACCAATGGAACAGAATTGAGAATCCAGACATAAATTCATCTACCTATGAGCAGCTGATATTTGACAAAGGCCCAAAGTCCATTAATTGGGGAAAAGACAGTCTCTTTAACAAATATTGCTGGCATAACTGGATATCCATGTGCAAAAAACTGAAACAAGATGCATACCCTCACACGATGCACAAAAACTACCTCAAAATGCATCAAAGACTTGAAATCGGAAACGATAAAGATCATGGAAGAAAAAATACGGACAACGCTAGGAGCCCTAATACATGACATAAACACAGTATGAACCATAAGTAACAGTGCACAAGCACCAGAAGAGAGACTAGATAAGTGGGAGCTCCTAAAAATCAAACACTTATGCTCATCAGAAGACTTCCTGAGAAGAGTAAAAAGACAACCTACAGACTAGGAAAAAATTTTTGGCTGTGACAAAGCCGATCAGCATCTGATCTCTAAAATCTACAAGATACAGCAAAACCTCAACAACAAAAAGACAACCCACTTAAAAAATGGGTGAAAGATATGAACAGGCACTTCGCCAAAGAAGACATTCAGGCGGCTAACAGAC